GGTTTATCCCCGGAGCAGCTGCAGGGGCGCGGCTGAAGGCCCGGCCTGCGCTCCGTGTGTTTAAGATCATTCATGTTATTTCCCCTTGAGGAAAATAATTACGTCTTGTGTTCCCGTGTATTTGAATATCATCGATGTAATTCTCATTCTTTTGATCTGATGCCCCCTTTTTTTAACTCAGTTTCTTTTTAGGTAAAAATGAAACCCAGAAAAGGAGGCAGATTTAAGTCTTCCTTTAAATTGAAACAAAAAGGCATCGAAGTAATAGGAAAATGGAAAACTGTGCCAATAGACCCCAGTCTATTTGCTGATGAGGACTTCAGAGATATAGTTTGCTTAGAGGAACTTACAGAGTACAAACTAGTAAATTCTTCTGAAGTGGGGAAAGTGAAAGAGAAGAAGAGAAAAGCTGAGAGTGTTTCAGAAGAAGGCAGTGAGGAGGAGGAAGAACCTGTTGTCCCTCCCAAAAAGAAAAAGAAAACCAAAGATTTGAGAAGGAAACCAGATAAAAGTGGTGATCCTAATGCAACAGGAATTGATGTGCCAGTTGATAAAGAGGCAAAGTGTGATGAAATAATTGAAGTGGCAAATTGCGAGGACCACGGACATGTGGCTGAGAGCGCTTCAGTTACAAAAGATGCTCCAAAGAAAAAGAAAAAGAAGGCTTCTCAAGCTCAAGAAGGTCTTCCATCTGTAACTACTTCTAAAAAAGTTAAAAACTGGACAACAGAAGTTTTATCTGCCTCAACCGATCACAAAGCTGATGTGTCTGCATGGAAAGACTTGTTTGTACCTGAACCAGTGTTGCGGGCCTTGAGCTACCTGGGGTTTAGTGCTCCGACTCCTATTCAGGCCTTGGCCCTGCCTTCTGCCATCCGGGATAATATGGATGTTCTTGGTGCTGCAGAAACAGGTACAAATCTGTTTAAACTGATTGTACATGCTGAGAGCTTCCCATCTGCCCTCCTAAATGCAGCTTATTGTTACAAGTTTTGACATGTAACAGAGGAAGCATTTATATGTAGGAGAAGAGCTCGCGTCTTCTGCATGTCCAGTATATTAGTAATGATTCATCATGGAGTATCAAACCTTTGTAACTTGCAAGCACAGAATGTTACATCTTTCCAGTGTGCAAAGCCTTGAAGTCTAAGTGAGATTTTATGCTCTTGACAGAAGTTTCTTTTTCTGTTGTTTCTCAAATTGTTTCCTGTTTTGGAACTGTAAGGCAGAATTATTGAAACAGAGTCATGTTCCCATGCCAAGGCAAAACAGAGAACTAGGTTCCCCTGAAGATGATTCAGTACTAGCTTGGAGTGGTAACCAGGCACAGTGTTAGGCATGGTCAGTATGCCCTAGGCCTTTATTGTGGGAAAACAGGCCCACCCAGTGCCCTGGCTCTGGAATTGGCCTGTACATTGTCAGCAGCCCTTCTCACTGCTTATGCTTGAAGTATTACATCAATGCATTAACTGGAAAGGTGCTGTCTCTCGTACAGCTTGTGATCAGCTCACACCTTTGTCTTTGAGCATTGCTAGCCTTTGTGAAATTGATACAGCTTCTTTTATACTTAAACAATGCTGTGAAGTCTCAGAGCATTACTTTAACTTTCCTTGCTTTTCATACCTTTGAAGTTTTGTCATCTTTAGCTATGCAACATTTTTTTTTTCCCCATAGAAACTAAAAATAGGAAGCAAAATTGGAAGCTGCATTCATTTAAAGGCTTCTTCTGCATTCTTCTCATCTGTTCCAGTTGCCTTATCTTACTGCTTGTCTTTGTAAAGCCATTTGCTGCTCTAGAGCGTGAAGGTATAGTAACTAATAAGATATGCAGGCATTTGCATTTTTATTTTAATTAGAAGCTAGGTTGGTGCTGTTAGCTTTAATAAGATTAGAAAGCCCTGCAGGGAGTGTTTTTGGAAATGGAACTGAAAATTTAAATGTTTTTTGGTGGTGAAAAAAAGTGCCATTTTCGCAGTGCTGGAGAGCAAATCCCTCTCTAGCTGCAGAATGCAAAGCATGGTTGGTGGCAGGTTGTGTTGTTGCTCTCTGATCTTGCATAACCCTGAGGTGTAGTAGGACTGTGTTTTGCTCATTTATTTTCTTCTTTCATGCGAGAAAGTCAGGTTCTCTCCAGAGAGCCCAGTGGGTCATCAGTGTAGGCACTTGAGAGAAGATGGGGACAATTGGAGGTGCTGCAGCTGGGAGAGGCTGAGACTTGCCAGCTGTTGTTTCTACATCCTGCAGCTTCCCTTAGCATTGGGCCTAAGGGAGGAAGGTGACAGGGGAAATAACTATTCGTCTTCCCTGTTTGGTAGCAATGTAAGGGGAATGGCAAGGTTTTGATATGGCAGGAGATCCCTGTGGAGATCAGATGCAGGGAATGGCAAGGCTGCTTGATTTTGCAGTGGATCTAACCAATTCTCTTCACTACCATGTAAAACTAGTGAAGTTTTTGGTTAAGGAACCAAATTTTATCTCTGTAAAAATCTTACAACTTAAAACCATTTAAAAGAGCATGAATTAGCTTAAGCTATAGTATCTGGGAATACAAAGATGTGCTTTTCTTCTGGTTTTGCAGGCGTGACTAGGGTATGTGATCTGTATGTTGTGAAGATAATGTGCCCTGTGAGGTGATTATTTGCTTAATTTGTGGGTGACTGTAGTACCTGCAGAACAGTCCTGATTATCACAGCCATAGTCTAGCTTGGTGCAGTACTGACATTTGCACCAGCCAAACTGCATTACATTTAATTCAAGATCAGCAGTGTACTTCACCTTAAAAACAGATGTTCTGGTAATACAGAATCTTATTGTGTAAATCTGCAAATGCAGATTGTAAACATTTTCTGCTTCAAGTAGAGAAGTCGTAAGAGATTTCCCAGAGAGGCAGAAAGGTGAGAAAGTGGATACGAGGAGACTTTGCAGCAGCCTTGGTGCTCAAGGAATTGAGATGAAATTTCCAGAGGACTGCTTCCCAGCAGTGGCCTGTTACAGGAATGCTGTAGTAGTGTCTTGTGCTCTGGATGCTGCTTTTGTGATCAATGAAATGATATTTGTGAGAACCTTAACTGGGCTGGATGTGCTACTAGGCTTCTCCTAACATCCTCTCCTGGGTTTTAGCTGAGGCAGAGCCAGGTTTCTTTTTAGTAGCTAGAATAGCGCTGTGTTTTGGTTTCAGCCTGGGAAAGTGAAACCACCACCCGTCTTTATTAGTGACGAGTAGTTCAGAAGGGAATATGTGGCAGGGATGTGACTTGCAGTTTGGTGCAGTGAACCCCTGAAATTCAAGTCAGGGGAGCACTTTTGTATTTGAAAACCCCTTTATCTCCAAAGTGGATAATCCGTTTTAAATCAGATTTATGTGTTTTGATTTTAAAAATGTGATCTTGTGATAGATCAGGAAATTAGGTGGTAGAGTATTTCAAAATACAGTTTCTTAGAAAATCATGAACTCAGTGCTATAAATTGAAGATGGAAGCAAATCCTTCAAGTACATTCCAGTTTGTCCTTGGCCTCATTTGCTGTTCCTTTATTTGGAGAACATTGATCAGAACTGTCAATTAGGGCATGGTATTCTCCTTACGGGCATACGGTTCTTTAAAAATATCTTGGCTGCAACTGCAGCTTTGAAAAACCACTTTCAGAACAAATGAATCTGCCTGACCTGCTAGAGATTGGAAAAATACCTGTTCCCCAGGAAGTGTGCTGCTAGTGACCTCAAGGAGATGTATAAAGGGAACAGGAGGAAAGAAGCTATTGCTGCAAGTTTCTGGTCTTGCAAAGATCAGGAGTTTGTGTCAGTTACAACTGTATGTTTTAAGAACAGTGTGTGATTGGCTGTTGCTTTTCTCATCTTTTCAAATAAATGACTTATCGGTCTGTATTATTCTTCTTGTTTGGTTTTTTATAGGAAGCGGCAAAACGCTTGCATTTGCAATTCCAATGATTCACTCTGTGCTGCAGTGGCAAAAATCAAACAGCTCAACAACCAGAAATGACAGTCTTTCTAAAGAGTCCCATCAGCATCATGATGAAACAAGATGGGAAAATGAGGATGAAGCAGAAAAACTAACCCATCAGCAGGCTGAAGATAGTGGAGATGAAGCTGATGCATCTTTCACAACAGGCTGTGTAAAGGTGCTGGAAAATTTTGAATTTGATTCCAGTGACAGAACACATACTGCTGGCTCCCATAAAAAGAAACCTCTTTTAGGACTGGTCCTTACTCCCACGAGAGAATTGGCTGTACAAGTAAAACACCACATTGATGCAGTTGCAAAGTTTACAGGTACGTAGACCCCACAGGCCATATCCCAGGTTATGTTGGGTTTGGATCTTGGCGTTGGTGTTGAACCAGAATGTGTGCCAGTTTCCTCCACATTAGAAAACTGGAGTGGCTTTTGAAGGGCTAGGATTTGTAGTTACTAATGTTTGAGAAGTGCATTAAGATTCCTCAGTGAGATGCATATGGAAGCAAACAGTTAATGTGGGATATTTTGCTTTAAAATGTTTCTTTCATCAAATAGCTATTGACTCATGCTGTAGCAACATAGAATCAGTACTAGATACCCAGCCACAGCTAACTTTGTCCTGATTTTGGATGATGTAGGTTATATATTAAAAAAATATATTTTTTTATATATATAGATATTTATACATATTTTTCATAATTTCCTTTTTTGACAGATACATCAATCTATATGGATTATATATATATATATAAAAAAAATTTTGCTCTATCTATCAAAAAATAAATTATGATCATAAATTTTAAGGGTAGAAGGCATTGCTGGATTGTCTGACCTGACTTACCTCTTACAACAGACAAACCACAGCATATTTCATGCCTGATTAAATAAATTCCATCCTGTTTCTTTCTCTCCCAAACCAGAGGTCAGCACATCTGTTAAGTGAATGAGTGAGGATGTGAAACTGTTCAAGATGGGGACAACTGTGAAAAACTCCCCACTACTCCAATAGTAGTGATTTTTTATTTATTGAAGATGATAAGTAGTGCAGTGAACTGCTTTTAAGCACATCTTCCTTTGGTGTCTATATATCCTGCTGTGCTCATCAGTTTACAGCTGATTACAAGGCTAATTTTAAATTCTAGCCTGAAATCATCGATTTATGTCAGTATGGTTCTGATAGGAGCAGTGCTATGTGTGTATAAAAATCTGCCCAAGTGATGTATATGCCCAAGTTGCTGCAGCAGGAGAGAAGATGTTTTGATGTGGGCTTTCTTTAATGCCTCAAACTCACTCTGAAAAAAATCCCCACCTGGAAGCATGGGGTTCCACCAGTTGTAGGGAAGAGAGATCTGTGGTAGCTTGGATACAGGAGGAATCTTGCACAGTAGCATTGACTTTGTCACGGGTCAGTGTGTCCTTTGAAGAAGTAGGGTGAAGTAAGCTGTGTGTGGAGTCTGCTTCCAGAGCTAAACCCCTTTTAGTCCCTGAGCAAATTGCTTAAAGCTAACTTAGGGTCTATACGCTACTGTGCAGTCCAGAGAATCACTAATTGGGCAGGAGCATTCTTGTTAGGATTATTGCATAGTCAATGAGCAGCTATTAGTAAGACAAGCATTTCTCAGTCTTATTTTTGGAGGGGCCTGTTGGTTATTCATAACAGAAACATGCTTATTCATGCAGATATAACTGACAAAACATGGGATTCTGGAGTACAAGTAAACAAAGCTAACAGCTATGGAGGATATACATGATTCTCCCTGTTATTGGAAGACAGGTGCACTAAAAGAAAGATTACTTTATTTTTGGTGTCTAACTAGAATGAGGCTTTTTCTGTAGAATTGAGAGCATTGCTGTGTGTTCAGTGTTATATAAACCCCCTGAAGTTTCCTGGCCAAAATGCTTGCTGAACGTTGTGATACAGACTTTTTAAAATACTTCTTTGAGTGGCTGTATGTAAAGACATTCACTGATAAATTAGTGAGATAAAAGCTATTATTTATGTGTTCTAGGCATTAAGACTGCAATTCTAGTTGGGGGCATGGCTGCACAGAAGCAAGAACGTGTGCTGAATCGAAAGCCAGAAATTGTAATTGCAACCCCAGGCCGTCTGTGGGAGTTAGTTAAAGAGAGACACCCACATCTTTCCAATCTTCGGCAGCTCAGGTAAAGGTGCCTTCTACACTAACTGCTGGATACTGAACTGGGCATCACTGCATACTGGTTATGTTTACTAACTGATTAATAATTAAGACTACATAAGATCACTTACTTCTTTGCCAGAGTGTTTTTTTGAAATGTACAGTGGTTATACTGATGGAGGGAAATGTCAGTTAAAGCCAGTATCAAACACCTCTTTTTTCCTTTAGAAACCTCACTTTAAGCATATGTGGAAGGCTGCTGTAGCTATCCCAGCATACCTGGTGTTCCTTTGGGTTTTACATGCAGAACTTCCCTTATGTGTCTAGTAGGAAAGGTTCTTTTGAAGTGTATCAGATTTGTATTTATCTGCACAAGTATATTTTTACTGTGTGTTTTCTATTTGACAGGTGCCTTGTAATTGATGAAGCAGACAGAATGGTTGAGAAAGGTCACTTCTTAGAGCTGTCTCAGTTGCTGGAAATCTTAAATGATTCACAGTATAACCCTCAACGACAGACTTTCGTTTTTTCTGCCACTTTGACTTTAGTCCATCAGACTCCCACAAGAGTTTTACAGAAAAAGAATGCTAAAAAGATGGACAAGAAGACCAAACTGGAATTGTTAATGGAAAAAGTAGGAATAAAGGGCAAACCCAAAGTGATAGACTTAACCAGGAAAGAGGCTACTGTTGAGACTCTGACAGAAACCAGAATCCACTGTAATACAAACGAGAAGGACTATTATCTCTATTACTTTCTTCTCCAGTATCCAGGAAGAACCATGGTCTTTGCAAACAGCATAGACTGTGTAAAACGCCTCAGTTCTCTCCTCACAATCTTAAATTGTGATCCTCTTCCTTTGCATGCCAACATGCACCAAAAGCAGAGGCTGAAAAACCTGGAAAGGTTTGCTGAGCGAGAGAGGTGAGTTGATTTTCTGCTTCCTAGTAGGGAAAACCGGAAATCATGTAAAATGTAGTGGGGAGGGGAAGCAGATCTCTTAGAACAGGAACAGGTTGGGGAAGTTTGCTGGGGATGTGAGTCTCCTGTTCATGAGCCCAGCTTATTAACAATTTGAGATGTGGTTTCACAGGATGGTTGATGAACTGGAGTGAATTCAGTGGAGGGCCACTAAGATGGTCAAGAAACACTGGCTTTGTAAGGGGAGAGGCTGAGGGCACTGGGTTTGTTTCACCTGTGAAAAAGACTTTGTGGGGACCTAATGGCAGCCTTCTGATATCTTAAAAGGAGGTTATCAAGAAGATGGAGCCAGGCTGTTCACAGTGGTGCGTGGTAGGAGGATAAGGGAAAATGGGTGCAAGTTGAAATGAGAGGTTTAGGCTTGATACAAGAAAGAGCTTTTTCTCTGTGAGGACAGTCAGGCAGTGGAACAGGCTGCTTGTTCTTGGAGGTTTTCGAGGCTCAGTTGGATAAAGCCCTGAGCAATGTGGTCCAGCCATATAGCTCATCCTGCTTTGAGGAGGAGGCTGGACTAGAGACCTCCTGACGTCCCTTGGAGTCTGAATTATCCTGTGGCCTGGCAGCTCACTGCTGCTGAAGGGGCTGTTTCCTGCCCTGTTTTCAGCTGTATGCTTTTATAACCATCCTGCACACCTCTCTGCCCCTGTCCCCTGGCTCTGCAACTCATTTGATCCTTCTGTAAGTTGTTTCATCTCACTAAGCCATCAGAAAACTAGACACTTTTTGATGGGTTAGGGATTTGTGGGTTTAGTTAGATGAGCTTCCTGAGGGTCAAAGTATCCTAGGGCAATGCAAGAGCAGGGGCAGTTGTGCCTTTCAGCAGCAGTGGGCAGTCAGGTTTACCCAGGCAGGCCTGTCCTGCCATTTAAGAATTAATGTTTCCTGCTGGCTTTGGGATGGTCTTTGGCAGGAGGCTGGTGGTCTCAGTACTTCCATAATCCAGAAGCCTCACAGCCCTTGCATGCTGTCTGACTGCATGGGAATTTGTACCTTGGTAATAGACTTAGGCAGGGAGAACAGAGGTTGAATTGCTGTGACAGATCTGCAGTATCCCTTGGCAAAACGTAGTATCGACAGCATTGGCCTGAGCCAGACGGGGCATTTTCAGAGACTGCAGATTTTCAAGTCATGAAGAAATCTATGAGACCATCTGTCATAACCTCCTGCAGATTGCAGGCACAGAATTTCTGCTTTGAACCTTGTAGCAATAGAGTATGCCATAAAATCTTAACAAATTGTGTTGCCTACAAGTAGCTTGTTTCAGTTGCTGGGAGATTTTTTTTTTTAAATGAATTGTTCCATACTCTAGGGAGACTTTTGTCTCTGTGGTAGACTTTATATTAAATTATGACTTTTTTGAGTAGTTCTTCATTTCTGGGGGTAAGGAGAAATACTAATTGTCAGAACAGAATCCCTCCTTTATATTTCTAGCTTTTAATTTATTGAGAGAACTTATTTGAGTAATAACTTGATAGAATATATTTCAGCCCTAAAAACCTGTTATTTAAATCTATAATGTTAATAATGTGATTTTTCTCAACTAGTGAAACTTGTAATAACATGCTTGTCCTGCCAAAAGATCAACAGTGTTTTAATGGTATGGTCATATCAGGGTAAAGATATTTTTAAACCCAGCCTGGGCAGAGCACTAAAAAATGCAATGAAGGGGAACATACCCCACTTCCAAGTGGTTGGTTTGGGTCACTGAATAGCGATGTGCATTAGCATTCCTGTGAATTGGGAAAGAATAAAAGCATAGGAAAACAGGATCCAGCAAGACAGTGAATTTCTTTATTGCAAACAGAATAGACCTGCTGAAGGTAATATATGCATTTTTTTTCTTTTACGTTAATAATTGCTGTTTCAAGACTGCCTCTGATGTAATATTGGGTATAATTTTCTGTAAGGGCAAACAAATAGCATTATTTCCAGCAGATAATATAGTACAAATCTATTCCTTAAATTGCTGTGGTAGAATTCTAGGTCACTGTATTTTATGTTCCTTGGCAGATGGTTTACTCTTCAATTTTATGTTCATTAAATGTTATCACTTTCTCAGCTGTGTCCTCCTGACAACAGATGTTGCAGCTCGTGGTCTTGATATTCCCAACGTGCAGCATGTCATCCATTACCAGGTTAAATATTTTAATGTTTTTGCTTTTACTGGTTTGATTTTGAAATAAGCTTTTGCCAATCCAAACCCTGAACACTATAAAGCTGTGATTCTTGGTCCTGTGGATAGGATAGTCCCAAGTATAGAGATTTAATAATTATTAATTTAACTGTCCTTAGTGCTTTGTACTTAAGGATCTCATTGCTGCAGTGACCAACTGTGGTAGGTAGTACTTCATGAATGTGTGATTATATATGAGAAATGACATAACAGATACAATTCTCCTTGCTTTTTGCTTAACTTTAATATCCAAAAGTGTCAAATGACTCAGCCCTATAACTCTTCTCAGAGGACACATATGATTTTTTCCTGCTTTGCAAATGAAATGATAGAGGGTCAGACTCACAAAAGATTATGGAAGGAAGAACACTGGACCAGAGAACAAAAAGTGTCTCTAGACATGATCTTTTACTTTCCCTTCAGCTGTGTTACATGCAATGTACTGTGTGTGTATAAAACCAGTATTCTCTGGTAACCTCTTGGCCAAACCATTGCAGCTGCTGCTGCCTTTTCATGGCCAGCTCCATGGTTTTTCTGAATACTTGCAGGTCCCTCGTACTTCTGAGCTATACGTGCACAGAAGCGGCAGAACAGCCCGAGCTGCCAATGAAGGCCTGAGCCTACTGCTGATTGGTCCTGATGACTTGATCAATTTTAGGAAAATTTATAAAACATTGAAGAAGAGTGAAGAGCTGCCATTTTTCCCAGTTGATACCAAGTGCATGACTTCTATCAAGGTAAAGAAACAACGTCTTTGTATCCTGAACAGTTGCTTGCATACTTGTATTACTGCATTGCCCATCAGGTGCTTTGCAGGTTTCAGATTAAATTTACTTGTCATGTCCTGAATTTGAAAATGAAGTTAATAACGCTTTTTTTTTTTTTTTTAAGCAATATTTGTGATTTCTCCTCACTAACTGACCCAAGAAGGGTGTTTAGACATAAACATCACTTACATTTTTCTTACATGTTGTTATGTGTATATCTCCTGACTAGATTCCCAAAAACAATACGGGGAAGTGAGTATGTTTTGTGGCTGGGGAGCTGGGAGGGCTCTGTTAAGTATGTTGTTTAAAGCCTCTTGTCCTGGGAACAGACTAGAGAATAGTAGCAGGTCCAGGGATCCTCAGTGGTCTTTATCTGCCTCTTCTCAGTTGAAGTAGTAAATGGTCTGCTTTTCTAAAAGTATGTATACAATGAGGCCACAGCTGCCACTGAACCCTGTCAAACCAGGTATATATTCTTTTTCTGGGTTATTACCCATTTTAAGGAGAATTCAGTCATTCACTAACTCACAAGGTAGACAATGGTTAGGATTTACAAACCAATATATTTTAGAAAGCATCTAGTCACCACAGATTTTCTGACTTTCAAATAAGAGGCCATTTCATGTCTCAGTGTTCTCTTAACAGTTTGGGTGACATCAGTCATGTACAAATGGGACGTTTAAATACTGCATTTGAAAGGAATCCAGCTGCAGTTGAAGTGTCTGAATATTGCATTGAAAACAGGAGAAAAATCCAAGCAATCATATAATGCAACAGGTATCTCCCTTATGGTGTTGTGGTTCATGTTTAACCACGTGGCTGGGACTGAGCCCAGGGTCTACGCCAGTGGCAGCAGCACTATCTTTGCCCTGGGAATGAGGTCAGCAAAGCCCAGGCTTGCTGCAAATGAGGTATTTAGTGTGTGAGTCTTTTGGGAGATGCAGCTTTCTGAAAGAGGAAGAAGATCAAAGAAATGCTTCCACAGACTCTTGCTAGTAACAAAGATAATTTTTTTCCCCCCCATCTTTCCCACCACCCCCTTCCACGTGCCAAATGTTTCTGGTTACTGTAAGAAATCTGTTGTTTTTAGAGTGTTTCTTCAGAGGTCCCTTCTGTGTTTCTTCATGAGTAGTTCTTGGCTCTTACCATGCTCTGTCAATTAATGGGCAAATAAATATTGTTTCCACACTTAAATTTTCCTGCCACCATCTCACAATCTTCTCTCCTATCCATAATAGAGTTCCTCTCCTGAGAAAAGATGTCTTTGTAATTGTAATTATAGGCTCCAGCCTCCTAGGCCCTTCACGTGGTCAGGTCTCATTTACACTTTGCCCTGGGCTTAATCAGAAAGCCATTGGAGTTGGGGCTGTAGTGCTGCTGGTTCTTTGTCACTCCCTTTGGCACACTCCTTCCCTGGTTCTGTGTGCCTTCATTCAAGTTCAGGAAAAATCTGAAGGTATTTCACACTTGAGAGGAATAGAATAGGTGAAGCAGGGTAGAAGAGAGACCAAAAGAGGACTCAAGATTTACAAAGATGTAAAAACTATTTAAAATTTCTTACAGTGATCTAAGGAGAAGTGAGTGACTTGTTTTTAGTCAACTGCAAGTTTAATTTCTTCTCTTTCTGCCTTTTAATTATCCTGGCAGTTCTGACTGGTGCTGTTACTGTGTAGCACCAGACTATTGCGTTTGGGTGGTCTGGGTGTCCTGCACAGGGTCTGTTTTGTGCAACCACAGGCACATTCCAAACAGCAGAATTTGCTGCTGGGTTGATTATCATTTACTGTCAGTGCAGATTTTCTTTCCATAATGAATTAGTTATTTAAGACAGCTTGGCCCAGCTGGAAGCCTGTAGGTCAGGTTAGATTTGCCGGACATCTTTGTTGCACCTGTGTGCAGCTGGGAAGGAGGACAGGACATTTTGTCCTGTGCCTAAACAACGTCAGGTGCATTTCTGAATATATTAATAGCTCCTTCTGTATGGCCTGCAGGAGCTTACTTCTTCAGAGTGGCATAAAGCTAGCGGCTCCTCCTTACTGCTGAGACTAGTAACTTTGAGATCCAGCTGTACTATGTAAATGTGTAACTTGGAAATGGTTGGTATCTGAACCGTGATTTGTCCTTGATGTCTCTGAAATGTTTGTAATGTTTCATTTAAAGAACAAGTTTATATTCAGGCATGTTGAGTAACTGATGTCTTAGAAGTCAGATTCTATCATAGATCTGAAGAAAGAAAACACTTTAGCAAATTATGACGTCTGTATTGCTTGGGGCATCTGCTGGAGTGGCAGTAGGGAACAAAAGTGTCTCTGCACCTCAGTTGCATTGTAATGCATGCTCTCAAACACTGATTCTACTGAAGTGCCCCACATCTAAACCCCATCATAATGCCTAAAATGTACTTTTGTTGCAGGAACGGATGAATTTGGCACGGCAGATTGAAAAGGCAGAATTCTTCAACAGTCGGGCAAAGCAACACAACTCCTGGCTCCAGCAAGCTGCAGAGGCTCTTGAGATTGATCTTGATGATGATATGTTTATGGGCAAGTAGAAATGCTTGTTTATGAGTATACTCAGTTGGTCCCATAGCACTGGTGTCCAGAAGAAGCCTCACCATGCCAGAGGAACTCTTAAAGCCTGCAGGGCAGAAGGGAAAGTAAAGGAGTGTGATTACTTAGTATGTGGTGTTGCTGGCGTTTTCAGAATGATTGTGCAGTAGATAGCACTGGAGCTGAGAGAGTGACGTGTGACAGTACTGGCAAGTTATAGACAAGTCCACATGTCATAGCACAAGAACTGTTTAGCTTCTGGCAAATATTTTAGTGTAATCTAACAGCCCAGTATGTCCTGATTGAGTCTTGTCCCCTCTGTGTCAAAGAAAAAGCTGTTTCTCCACTTCTGCTTATCTCTCCCACCTCCCTGTAGTCAGGCAGCAGGACGGGACCCTGACAGCTCTGTGTGGGAACACCCAGGAAGCACTAGCAAACACCAGAAATTGTGAGCCTTGTGTAGGTTGAGTTGTGTGGGCTAAATGGCCAATAGTTATGTTCAAGTTGCTGAGGTTTTTGGTGGTGTGTGAGAAGTAAATAATTTCTTATATTTTTAAAATTAAATGTTCTGCAGGCTGTGCCTGAGAGAATGTGTAGGGCTGTACAGCTACAGGTGCCTATTAGTTCAATGCCATGAAGCTTTGCACTCCTCAGATGCACTGTAAAGTGCCACATTGTGTTCAGATTTTAGGGGCTGAAGGTATGATTTCCTACCAGTTCTTTGAAGGCATGCTGAATAGAGGTGCTGCCTGGGTCGCTTCAGCTTAAACTGTATCTTAACTTGTTAGCTGCTAAATACACAGGTGCCTTTAATTTTGAAGCTTGTTCAGTTTTATTTTTTTCTTTCCTTTATTCATGGGTGGACTAGGCTGTTTCAGCCACTTACCAAGCAAATACTAATCTCTGTCCAAACTGTTCAGGAGTGCTCTCAAATAATTACCACTCTGCTGTCTTGTTTTGACATAATCTGAGTATACTGTGCTTTGAAATTAGTTTCAAAACAGAACATCCAGTCCAAGTAAGTTGTGGCTCTCCAAAAGTGAAGCACTTTGTAATTGCTACCCAAAATCTTGCCAGATTCATGCTTTAAAATGTATTTAGTCTCTGATTCTTCTGTAGCTTGTTGGAGACTGATTAAAATCTGTCATTCCTCCCATAAATGAAATGCCTCTTACACTGTTACAAAGGATTTGATAATGTTCTTTCCATTTACATTACAGCAACCTTGGTTTCATTTATTCTCTCTAGTTCAGGCCTCTGACCCTATTAACTGTCTCCAGTCTTCTCTATGCCCTTCTTTCTCCTATATTATTAAATCTGAGTACCTCATTGTTTTTTATGTATAAGGAGGCTTCCTGTTTTACAGGTGCTGAAATGAGACATGCATAAAGTAACAAAACACACAGAAGAAGCTTCTGCCTGAGCTAGAAGCCCTAGGTTAATGCCTTAGCTTCTGGGCCCCTTTTCCTTTTGTTCCTGAGTCTGTTCTGTGTTGAGAGCCAACTGAATGATTTAGCATAATGATACCTGGGCTATAGTTGCTCAGTAATAAAGATTCCTCTTGATCTTGTTATCTTGTGGGCAGCCTGGGTGATCTCAAAGTGTCACAGATGACTGGGAGACTATATGGGAGTTGAGTGACCTTGTTAGAGAAAGAAAGATAACATTAGTGTCTGCCCCTAGCACTACAAAAGACTAGTGAAAAAGGCCAATGCATGTTTTTCTCTTGTTGTAATATTCTATATCTTTGATTTCTGCCCCAAGGAAGAAAACCTGATGAGCAAGAAGAAAACCAGAAGCAAAAGATGCTGAAGGGGATGAAAAAACAACTAAAACATATGTTGTCCCAGCCACTGTTTAAAGTTGTTATGAAAACCAAGTACCCAACACAGTCTGGAAAACTACTCCTGCCTCAGACATCAGTGGGCACTTCAGAATCTGCTCTGGGTACTGTGTCCAAACAACAAGCCAAGAAGAAGAAATCAATAAAATTAAATTAGATAACTGAGCAAGATCACTCAGTGTGACAGAAGTAAGGACAATCCTTATCAAGGCTGTCAGTGCTTATGAAGGAGCTCGGCTAGAAGACACGTAGTCTCAGAGGATGTTGCCTTTGTCTTGGTTGTGCAGGCACAAAGGAAAATGTTGATTTAAAGGGTTCTGTTAGCATGCAGTTAGTTACTGTTGAATGTTGTTTTGAATCTTACTTATTTTTTCTTACTCTGTGTTAATAGAAGTTAATCAGTTTTGAAATAGTTCTGTTTATTGCTCTGTTTTGAGATGGGTAAAAGTTACTGGGTAAAATTCACAGCAGGCATACTCTAATGATAAAACTTGATTTGAATTTTAGTGTCCTTAAAGGACAGGGCAAGGCTGGCTGCATACAGTCTGAATGCAATCTGAGTGGGTGGTAGGGGGAGGTTTGGCTTTTACTGCAGCCAGTTCAGGGAGAAAGGCAGCAAATATAGATAATGTTACCAGCAAGTCTACAATTCTGGTTATGGAAATCTCTCCCAGTTTTCTTTCTCCTCTAATATTTATATGTTCTGTTCTCTACTGCATCTAGTTCCCTTAGTCCTGTGTTAATATGTTTTAGAATGTGCAAAAAAAGTCAAGGTGGCAGTGATCCAGGACTCACCTTGGGAGATGTGTAGATTTCTGAGATTAAGTGTTGCTACTCAGTGTTATGTTAATTGATATTTGGAGTTAAGTTTCTGTTTGAAAAAAATGTTAGAACCATGACCTTTGCTTTAATGGAAAAGATGATGTTGTGAAATGTCACTTTTGAAGAGTGCTTCCTGATAATTATGCTTTTAAATAATTTTAACCTGACCTGGGCAAATAATTTTTAAAACTATTTTTAAAGATATGTCAGAAAAATATATTTTGAATTTTTGTTAAATTATACCTGCTATAAAACCCAAAGCCTGTGTCTCTTTTCAATCACATGAGATTTCTAAATTGCTCATGGCTGATGCCTTTTGCACTTAGCAGGCACAGAGAGGGGAAAAGCACCCAGAAGGTAAGACACAGCAGTGGGATCTGCATTGGTGGGGGCACAGGGAACCTTTGGCTGCCAGCTGTAGATTGGGCTGAGTTTGTATGTCTCATACAGTACAGAACCACTCTTACAGCTGTGATAAGAGGCACCAGTTTACTCAGTTAGTCAAAAATAAATCGGTCTGTAGAGTTGAGTGCCCCCTGCAACCACTTGCTGGTTATGTAAGAATAGCAAACTCTACTCTTTCCTCTATGTAAATAATGAAGACATCCCCCACACACGCTCCCTTGTCTCTGGAGGGCTTTTCTTTTGCTTCCTTGCATTACTAAAGAGCTGTGACAATTTAATCATAAGAATACAGAGCTTATCAGTTATGTATGAAGCTTTCCTTGCAATGCACTGTTTGTCTTGTGCCCTTCAGAGTAGAGGAGGGAAATTTTGGGGAGGAAGAGACGCCTTCTTCATGCTCGCCTATGGCATGCTCTGATGCTGCACCTGCACAGGAGCTCAAGCAGAACTTGGACCCTAAAAATAAGCTGTGTCTTAAAAAGAGTACTTGTCTAGTGCTCTGAAAGCTCTCTTGTGGATGCCTGCTTTGCCTTGTTCTTGTCTTACCAGGATACCCTGTGTCTTCTACCTAGAGGAAAAAACCTTATACGTGGTTTAGCTAATTTAAACAAATTATTAAACAGTAGCTGGAAAATATTACGACTTAGCTGCCCTCCTCCAATGTGAACTAGGTTACTGCAGGAAGAAAGGAAGGCAAAGGAGAGTATTTTCTTTAGCTCTGATCATTTGCATTTGTAAATTAGACATGAAGAGTTTTACATCGGCTACATATGGGCAATTTAATTTTAGTAGTTTAGTGTTTAATGAAATGTGTAGTATCAAATGGTTTCTGTAATGCTCTACTGACATGGCAGTTACACTAGTGCCTCAAACAAGTAATCTTGTGTTTTGTGGCAGCTTATGTCTGCTAAAATGCCCATTAATTAAAGGACTAATTAAGTCGATTTAGGCTGTCACAGCAACTTACAAGTAGATTAATAAAAACAGGAGTTCAGCAGAGTGGTGGTAAGGAAGGGCTAAGCTGATACAGAGCAATCAGTACTACATAACAGCAAACTGAAACCCTAATAGCTTCTGAGCCTTCACTTTTATTTTGTGAATAGGTGCGGCCATTTGACCTCATCCTTGCTGCAGAGTTCCCAGTCTATCATACACCTGAAGGAGGAGTCCCTGTAGTTTAAGACATCTGCTGAGAAGATAGTTTGGACAGGATCTTACATACTGCACAGCAAAGTTTCCTGACATTCCCCTAGCCTTTTCTTTCTCTTCTCCCTTGTAGGTTAATAAAACAGCAGGTTAGCAAAGCAGAAGCTGGAGTGCTGCCTTGCCATATGCCAGCAGCCCAGGCACACGGCTGGCCATGTGGCATAGGGGAGGTAGTTTACACCTTGCTGAGAAAGGGCCAGGTACCACATGCTTACCACAGTCAGTCTGTGTATCCAGGTCCCTAAGGGGGAAAGAGATAGGGAAAGGACATTTTCTGATTATCTCACCTCAAACTGCCTGACACTAGGAGGAGAATCTGGTAAGAAACACTGTGCTTTCTTGGGTGTTAAAATACCCACTGCTTTGTCCTCTGCTAGCAAGGTGTGTCTTGGGTGCCTGAGCGATTCCAGATTGTTTAATCAATGGCTTGGTGAAGGAAGCAGCTCAGAAGACCATGAGTTGAGTGACTGGTACCAGACTGCTAGTATAGCCGACAACAATATGTCAGTAGTATCCAATAGTCCTTGCAGAAAAGTAGGATGTTGTCAGAGGTGGGACTGGGGAGAAGGGAGGCACGAGGCAGAAGGGCACTCTTTTAGGAAATGGCCTTGATTCTGTAACACTTTATAGATCCCTTACACCCCCTGCGCCCCCCTTATACTGGGGCAGATGTCTGATACTTTTCTGGCCCATGTGAGATTTCTTATTCCAGCTTCCTTTTGTGAAAGGTACTGAAGGGTTTCAGCATTTTTTCAAGTCAATCAGAAGCTCCTCATGGGGTTGGCCTCACAGAGTGGATGAGAAAGAGGAAAATAATTTGTGACTCCTGAGGCAAGTTCATCAGCCTGGGGAAGCAAGTGAACAGAGCTGCTATGCTTGTTTGTCTTGGAGTTCAGCGGCTCTTGCTGTGAAGCTGGAAGAAATTGTAGCCCGTTTCCAGAGCAACCAACTTTAGATGGTACAAATTGCCAGATTTCTGTAGGTGAGGGCTGCAGTTACAGAACACAGACCCAAATCCTGGCTTGGAAAAGGAAGAAAGGCACTGCAAAGGACACACGGGCTTTGGTACCACTGGGCTAATTAGAGGTCTGAGGTTCTCTTATTATTGATGTAATTATATCAGCCTAATCAGTCATGTGGATGCTTTTATAGAAGTAGAGTTTATTTTCCTTTCTTCATGGGAATACCTGCACCAGTATAAGCAATTTTAGTACTGACAGGTGTTATGGATTCATACATGCCGACACCGTAACCAGGTCTGACCCTGGGATATTGCTGATTGATGTAAAGTCCAAGAGAAGGTTTCCAGTTCCTCTTTTATTAGTTCTCAGGTAACAGCTTGAGCTGGGTGCCTCTGGAAAGGGACCCCTGCCCCAGATCACACCCCTCAATTATACCTGTGCCACCCAGCTCCTGAGCTCAGTCACTGAATTCTGGTGGGTGGTCTCTTGATTTCTCATTGGGTTTCACTGTGGCTGGGCTGGCCACCTTCTGAAGTTACCTCATTCTTTTGGCATTGTTTCCTTGGTCCTTATCTTCTTCATTCCTCTCGCATCTGCCAGGTTCAGCTAGTTCTGTGTTAGCAGCATGAATTTTTATCAAAAAGTTTACTCTCGGTCAGCTCCTGCAGCCTAAGGTTTCAACTACTTTAGCTACTAGGGCTAAGCTGCTAACGCTAAATGAGACTATGCAGGGAGAAGAATACAATTAATCAAATATCCTCTATAACACAGGAATATAATCCTGTACCAGTATTGGTAATAACTGCGCCAAGGTGCAGCCATTTCAGACCGTTTCTTATAGTGTTACTTCTAAGGCTGTCTCAAGTGAGGTCATTTCCATACTCTCAGTTCTAAGATGACCTCACAGTGTAATTTTATTGGCAAGTTAAAAAAAATTATGAGAATTAAATTTGCTGAAATATTTATCACTATTATTCTTTGTTTTCCTAGGGTCTCAAAATCTCCTAAATTCCATCCGGGAAAAAACTTTATTCATGCACATATATACATGTATAAACATGATTGGAAAGTATGTCCCGTCCATTGTAGAAGTTGTCAAAAGTCTATTTTCTAGTACATCATTCAATTATATGTGTATTCACATACACACACGACCTAGCTTTTAGCTAATATAACTACAGATATTTATATAAGAACAAAGTACAGTCAACTCCCAGGAGTTGTCTCATTCATTAGAGAAATGAAATATACATTTACCAAATGAGAAATAAATGCAAGCTGGAAAAAATAACATCACACATTTCAAAAGAAGAAAGAAAATCTGTGTTCAATCTCAGCTAAATCTCAGACAAAAATTTGCACCTTCCTTTGATCCCTGACACAGGATCTCTGATACTGATTTATGTTTCTTCTTATTTCCCACCCAAGGAAAACAAAAATTACATTGGTTCATTGGCAAAAAAAAAAAAAAAAAAAAAGAAGATAATTAAGAATATTTGGAGCATAAAAACCAGGACAGCTTTATCAAGTTGAAATTCCATGTTGTTTTCTCCTATTTAAAATGTGATCAATGACAGCACAAAAATAAACACGCAGTAACGTTTATCAGGCACTGTTTTATTAGAAGAGGGTACCATAATTTATCCCAGCACTTTTCTGTGCACAAAAGTCTGGGTGTTACCAATAGCCAGGGGCAGCTTTCTGCTTGCAATGATGTTTGCATTTTCCATTATACTTCATTATACTGCAATGCCTTACTATT